GGATTCGAACCCACAGTCATAGGTTTCTGGCGTGCTAACATGAATCAACTCTCCACAGCGAATTGCGGTGCCTTAGACGACTGGGCCACCCATGCCTCAAGTTTGTACAAGAATCACTATGTGATCACCACTTCATCACATGGAAGTGGTAGTGGTGGTGATTGTTGGTATGTGCCCCGGAGCAGCTGGCTTCACTCTAGACGTTATGTTGCGTCTCTGAATGAAGGCGTTTATATCCATGGTCATCTGACACGGTCATTTCTGCATGGTGTTCTTGAGGTATGATATAGGGTTCCATGTGACAATCAGAGCGGGACATCTGTTCTGCATGGTGTTCTTGAAGTATGACATAGGAATCCATGTGACAATCAGAGCGGGGCATCTGTTCTGCATGGTGTTCTTGAGTTATGACATAGGGATCCATGTGACAATCAGAGCGGGGCATCTGTTCTGCATGGTGTTCTTGAAGTATGACATAGGGATCCATGTGACAATCAGAGCGGGGCATCTGTTCTGCATGGTGTTCTTGAAGTATGACTTAGGGATCCATGTGACAATCAGAGCGGGGCATCTGTTCTGCATGGTGTTCTTGAAGTATGACATAGGGATCCATGTGACAATCAGAGCGGGGCATCTGTTCTGCATGGTGTTCTTGAAGTATGACAGGGATCCATGTGACAATCAGAGCGGGGCATCTGTTCTGCATGGTGTTCTTGAGGTATGACATAGGGATCCATGTGACAATCAGAGCGGGGCATCTGTTCTGCATGGTGTTCTTGAAGTATGACATAGGGATCCATGTGACAATCAGAGCGGGGCATCTGTTCTGCATGGTGTTCTTGAAGTATGACTTAGGGATCCATGTGACAATCAGAGCGGGGCATCTGTTCTGCATGGTGTTCTTGAGGCATGACGGTGTGATCCATGTGGCACACCACAATCATACTAGGTTTCTTGCGTGCCCACTGGACGCAACTCTGCACAGCAAATTGCGGCGCCTTAGACGACTGGGCCAACCCCCAGTTTGTACAAGAATAACTATGTGCGAGTTCATCACATGGAAGTGGTAGTGGTGGCGATTGTTGGTATGTGCCCCTGAGCAGCTGGCTTCACTCTAGACCTAATTTTGCGTCTCTGGATGAAGGCGTTTATATCCATGATCATCTGACACGGTCATAAATATGAACAGTAATAATGAGAAGTGATATAGATGCATGAACAGCTCGTTCAGGACGGCTTACAGTCAATGTACAATACATTGGGATCGATGGTCAGGCTAGCTGACCTGGGTGATGCATTTCATTGGAGACCCGTAAAGAGTCCGGGGTAGAATAGGTCTTCAGCAACCCATGCTTACCGTAAAAGGCGACTATGCTTGTCGTAAAAGGCGACTAAAGGGATCGGGTGGTCAGGCTCGCTGACTTGGTTGATACATGTCATCAATCCCAATTGCGTGGATTGATGCTCATGATATTAATCACTGGATTGTCTGGTCCAGATTCGATTATTTACAGACCGCCGTCATATAGCTGGAATATTGCTGAGTGCGGCGTTAAACAACAATCCAACCAAGCATTTCATTGGATCCCAATTGTGCAGCTCGATGCTGATGTCAATCACTGAATTGTCTGGTCCAGAATTGATCACTTACTGACCATCGTCTAACCACGTTGTGCCTTTTAAGAAAATGAATGTGTTATGACAAACTTGCACTCCACAATGATACATATTTATAAATTATAAATCATAACAACAGAATACAACTTTTTAGAAGGAACTGATGAAGTAGCATTTAACACTGATCAGGCTATAGTTCCCAGTTAACCCATTCGACCGACTTGCCATGACAGAACAAGGATTTGACTGTATACCTCATTACCATCGTGCTTGTATATACGTTGACAGCGGCGTCATTTTGTAAAGAAAGGGCCCCTACACAACGTTGTTGTAATGTCACACAAATACCAGATTAGCGTAATGTTGGCGTAACTGGAAATCAGTGGCGCCAAGGATAAGAGTGACTGGCTTTTAGTTAGAGAAACTTGAACCAGAGGGTTCTTAAATAAAAAAATCATAGGTTTCCGGAAGACGATTGTTTGCATGCATGTGTGGGAGAAGGGAGATAAATCCCCATAATCTAACATCAAAGGAAGGATCGGAAACAATGCGCGTGTCCGTGGTGTTCTTGATGTACGTGACAGTGGTCCATGTGACAACCAGAGTAGGGCAACTGTTCTGCATGGTGTTCTTGAGGTATGGCATAGTGATCGTATACAGCTTTTAGCCCCCATGAACCTAGACTGTACGTGAGTGAGTGAGTGAGTATGGTTTTACGCCGCTTTTAACAATATTCCAGCAATATCACGGCGGGGGACACCAAAAATGGGCTTCACGCATTGTACCCATGTCGGGAATCGAACCTGGGTCTTCGGCGTGACGAGCGAACGCTTAAACCACTAGGCTACTCGACCGCCCCTTTACTGTACGCAATGCGGTAACTTGACAACTTGTTGGATCGGGTAATCACGCTCGATGACATTGATGGATGCATGACCGTACCCTGACGGCGTTGATCGTTGCTCATAATATCAATCACTTCATTGTCTAATCCAGACTGGATTATTTACAGGCTGACGTCATATAGCTGGACTATTACTGAGAGAGGCGTTAACCAACAACCAATATCTGAAAATAAAACAGTGCTAATTGATGACTGCATGTCATTGGACGTATAGATTTTAGAGCCATGGATGACACTGTTTTAACAATAAGAAAGTCATTTCCATTTCCGTAAATGAACGAATGGAGTTTTGTAGGCGCCTGTATGTACCATCACGTTCTAAATAAAGCGACAAAACCCTTTCCATATCTTTATGCATAGATCTAAATTTGAAACAGAAGAAAGGCAACTCCCGAGTGCAACCAATATCTCCATGATTCCTCGACAGTAAACAGATAGTTCATTTCATTTATGGACCAAGTCAAATGATAGATCATGATCATATTCTGACAGAGTCACCTACATGTGACACAGCACAGTATCATATTCTTTGTGGACATTCCAGCAATAGATTCAAGATGCCCTCTTAGACAATTTAATAACACAAATAATTTTTAACGCCTGTTGAATACGAACCAGGCGAGGTAATAGTATACAAACTCATTTCTCTTACACTAATACATTCATTGCTCAGATTCTTTGACATTTCCCGCCACATTTGTCGGTATGGATTCATATATATTTAAATACAGTAAACTACGGTTACAACGAACACGCTTATAACGAACTGACGGATATGACGAACTAACCTTTTAGTCCCGACTATTTGCTGTAGTTATTATAGCAGAAATCAACAGTCTTGATACTCTCAATTGATGTTTATTGTCCGTTATTTCGTTGACAATAATAAATGAAAAGCTCATTCTTTTGTATCCGTTAACATGCTTTTCCTTTGAACGTTAGCGTTGAAATGATCAGTGTTGAGGTTCAAGAAACTAGAAAATAACAAGAAAATGTTCTAAGTTACAGTGTAAACAGTGAATTGGCTAAGTTGTTACAAATACAAAATTCTACAAATATTATATCATTTGAAGATAAATGATAGCTTCAACATTACTTTAGATGAACACACATTGTATAAATATGAAGAAGCAGGTTAAAAACTTACATCTGTGTTCTGCAATAGTTCATGACATGTTTCTCCAAGATGGAGACCTTTCAAACTGAAGGTGACAGTGGATGAGGTGACAGTGGATGAGGTCACATGACTAATCCCATGATGCAACACAACTGATTATAAGTCACAAAAACTTTTGCCTGAACCTGGGATCGAACCCTGGACCCTTATGCAGCTAGTCCAGTGACATAACCAACAGACCATTGTTAAGGCTGATATCTGTACATGAAATTCATAACATTTTTGCATAACAGATTTGTAACATAAATTATACTTTCTGCACTAACACACTCGGCCTCTTAAACAGACGGGCTGTTTAACACAAATATAACAAACAGTGCAGAAATCACAAGCTTGTATATACAGACACACTGGGTTTTGACTGATGGCTAAATTTGACAAAATCACGACTTGCTGGATAACAGCAATATAAGCTTGCTGATCGGTCGACGTAATTCACCAGTTTGAGTTTTCAGTACAGCACTCCTGACAAAACCCTTCTGATCAGGTTCAACCGACTTAACACGAGCCATGGGCCACTGAAGTCTCGGTAAACCGTCATCCATTATCAGGACAATGTCATCCACTTGGATATTCCGTTTTGGGATCGTCCATTTTTGCCGTTGCTGCAGTGACACCAAATACTCCTTTCTCCATCTGGACCAAAAGACATTGGCCAAATATTGGATCCGTCTCCACCTTTTCCGCATGTATACATCATTCTTCTGGAATTGGCCAGGAGGTGGAACAGACACGCTTGTTTTCATCTGTAGGATATGATTTGGAGTAAGTGGACATAGGTCATCAGGACTGTCAGATACTGTGGTTAGTGGCCGAGAATTGACAATTGCCTCAACTTCGCACATTAAAGTTCGGAACGATTCATCATCCAAGCGTTCATTGAAATCGTGCAAGAGAGAATTCAGGGTTTTTCGAACTGTTCTGATCATCCGTTCCCAGATGCCACCCATGTGACTGGCTGATGGAGGGTTAAAGTTCCATTTGATGCTACTTTTCAACAGGTCGGATTTGATACTATCTTGATCCATTTCTGACACAGCCTTCTGTAGTTCTCGTGATGCGCCCGTGAAGTTGGTTCCATTGTCACACCATATCTCTGAGACTTGTCCTCTACGTGCTATGAAGCGTCTTAGAGCATGAATAAAAGAGTCAGTGTCAAGTGAATTTGCCGTTTCAATATGCACTGCTCGGCTAACTAAGCACGTGAAGAGTGCCCCATAGCGTTTTACGTACTTGCGTCCATCTTTGATAACGAAGGGTCCGTAAAAATCCACACCGGTGAAGGTAAAGGGTGGAGCAGGATTAACTCTCCTAGATGGCAAGTCAGCCATTTTCTGATCACATGTTGAACCACGCAGACGTCGGCAGGTAACACAGTGTGACAAGACGTTGCGGACAGCAGAGTTAGCCTTAATAATCCAGTAGGTTTCTCTCAGCATGGAAAGTACATGGTTACGTCCTGCATGGGCTAGCTTTATGTGCTGGTCTGTAATAATCAGTGACGTCACGTGACTTCTGTAAGGAAGTATAACTGGGTGCTTCATCTCCTTGGGGATATTAGCTCTGCCAATGCGACCCCCGACTTTGAGAATTCCACTTTCAATGAATGGGTCAAGTTTATACACTGAACTTGTCCTTGGAACTCGGCCTCGTGTACCTTCACATCCTTGAAGCAGTTCAAACTCTTTGTTGAAGTGTATTTTCTGCACAAATTGAAGAATACTCTTCTCTGCTCGACTGAGGTCCTCCACAGAAAGCGATCTGTTGCTTTTAGCATGCTTCTTATTTTTGTATTGATGCTCATCGCTCCGTGACTTGAGTGAGTCAAACAATCTGTGATATATGGCTACAACACGCTTCAGACGATACCAGCTGGAGTAATGTTCCAACAATTTATTCACAGTGTTGTGAGAGCAGTCATCCTGTGATGCATCGGTTGCTGTGACTGTTTCTTCATGCATCTTCTCATCATGGATAAGATGTGGCTGTACTGGCCATTCTGATTCTGAAGAAGAAAGAAATTTGGGCCCATGAAACCAGTTCATACAGGTAAGCAGATGTGATGCAGATACACCTCTGGATGCAACATCAGCCGGATTGCTTTTTGAATCTACATACTTCCACTGAGTAGGTTCTGAAAAGTCTCTGATTTGCTTGACACGGTTGGCAACGAAGATTGGAAACCTCTTTGTTTCATTGCTGATATAGTGTAACACCGTCGTTGAGTCTGTGTGGTAGGTGACACTTTCAGGTGTAGTCTCCAGTTCCTTCATTAACAGTTGTCCGATGTGAATAGACACGTTGGCTGCAGTTAATTCCAACCTGGGAACAGTGATAGTTTTCACTGGAGCAAGCCTAGACTTTCCAATCAAGAAAGCTGTGTGAATACCGCCTTCATCGTTAGACATACGCAGATATGCTACACAACCGTATCCAACAGTGCTTGCATCGGAGAATACATGTAGTTGAACAGAAACAACATGTCCAAAATCAGCAGGTTTGAGACATCTGTCAATCCGTAGTGTATTCAAATGGTGAAGCTCTTCTATCCACTGCTCCCATGATGCCTTGTATTCCCCGGGTATGTCATCATCCCATCCGAGCTGCTTGTTGATGCACAGATCCCGTAAAATCTTCTTGGCTGGTAACAAAACCGGTGCAACAATTCCTAAAGGATCTTAGAGTGACGACATCGTAGACAATAGTCCTCTTCGTGTGAATGGCTTACTCTTCAGATGAACTGAGAATCCAAAAACATCACTGTTGATATGCCACTGCATCCCTAGAGCGCGTTCAACAGGTAGTTCGTCATAGTCTAAATCACGTGTTTGGAGTTCTTTTGAATGATGTTCCTGTGGTATGGATCTGAGAAGATTGCGACTGTTAGCTGTGAACTTAGTGAGCTTGAAGCCACCTTCTGCACATGATTTCTGCAAAGAGTCCACTAAGTCAATAGCTGCCTCTTCCGTGCATTCCGATTTGAGACAATCATCAACATAAAAATTGTTGCAGATTGTGTCAGCAGCAAGGCTTCCATATTTCTCTTCAGCTTTCTTTGCAGCAGCTTTGAGAGCAAAGTTGGATATGCTGGGGGAAGAAACTGCTCCAAAAATGTGAACAGCCATCCTATACTCATGTAGCTCCGAGTTCAAGTCACCATTTGGCCACCACAGAAAGCGTAACAGATCATGTTGTTGAGGAGGAACACGAACTTGATAAAACATGGCTTCTATATCAGCCATGAAGGCAACTGGTTCATTTCTGAATTTGGTAAGAACACCTATCAGCGAGTTTGTGAGATCAGGTCCTTGCAAGAGTCTGTCATTTAAAGAAAACCCTTCAAACTTTGCTTTGCAGTCAAATACTACGCGGATTTTTGAAGGCTTCTTCGGATGGTATACACCATGGTGTGGCAGATACCAAACCTTTCCTGGTACAGGTGCTAGCTCATCACTTGGGACCTTGTAGGCATATCCATTGGAAAGCAGACTATCCATAAAGGCAGTATAATGTTCATGATACTCATCATCATGTAGCATTTTCTTCCTTTGCCACATTGCTCTCTTCTCGGCTTGTTCTCTGTTGTTGGAAAAATCAATGTCTGGATCCCTGAGAGGTAATGGCCGTTAACTTCCGCGATACCTTTATTTGCCATGTCGATAAACTGATCATCCTCTCTAGAGAAACCACGTTCACCAGGTAATATTCCAGTGTCCTTGGGATTAAAATCCATTTCAAACATATTCAGTATCACATCAGTGAGACATTCTTTTGCCGAGGTGAGTTCTTGGAAGAGCACACGATTGCATGTGAGCGTATTATCAACTGGGTTGAACTTGATATGAAGCGGCCCACTGACAGTCCATCCATGTCTGTAGAGTACGGCGAAAGGACCTTCACCTTGAGATGGAATCACTTGCTGAGGTTGAAGTGCAAGAGGACAGTTACTCCCAATAAGAAGACCAATATCCAGATGAGGTAGGTATTTGGGCAACTTGTCAGCCATAGCACACAGATGAGGCCATTTCTTCAGAATGTCAGGATTGGGAATCTGACTATGACTTACAGGTATCTCCTCTCGAGTGAAAGTTCTTGGAAGCGTCACTGCATTATCACCATTGAGATCTGACACAACAAGACCTTCCACAACATGCGTACTCACAACATGAAGTCCGTGCATAGTCCGAAGTTTCAGTGAAGATTCTGTAGATGTAGTCTCAAGTCGCTGTCTAAGATCCTCCGTTATAAAGCAGCCAGGACTCCCGTTGTCAAGAAGTGCATAGATCTTCACCAGCTTGTCACTTCCCTTTTGCTGAATCAGAACTGGAAGAATAGCTTGGAGCACAGTATCTGAAATAACAGGTTCAATGTTGTTGCATGAAGATGACACAGACTTCTCTTGATCTGGAGATACAAGAGAATCACAAGCTTCAGAAGACTTCTGATCTACGTTTTTACTTGCAGAACGGAAGTTCTCATCATGCAGTATTGTTGGATGACACTTTCCACACTTCTTACAGCTTCGTTTCTTCATACAGCCCTTTACCATGTGATTGAATCCAAAACATCCAAAGCACATTTTCTTCTCTTGAAGATATGTCCTCCGTTCACTGAGAGATTTCTGACCAAACTGTTTGCAGGATTCAATGTCATGAGGTCCTCTGCAGAAGTAGCACGAAACACTTCGGTATTTATCCTGCTTGTGGTTCGAACTGTCTACACCAGTCACGAAACTACTTGACTTGGCTCCATCTTTCTTTGAACTCTTGCCTTGTTTGGATCCCCAGTGAACTTGGCTCTTGGATATAGCTTCCTTTCCAAACACAGGCTCATTAGCAGATCTAGAAGCAAACTCAATGAAATGCACAAGATTTTCAAAGTCAACAGGCCTGTTGTTATGAAGTTGTGCTCTGGTAACATGATCACGCCATTTATTCTGTAGATGCACTGGCAACTTCAACACAACTGCTTGCAAGTTAACATAATGATTAAGAACAGTCATGTGTGACATAGTCTTCATTGCATGAAAACACTTGATGAGGAAGTGAGAGAATTGTTTAAGTCCATGACAATCATCATGCTTGATCTGAGGCCATGATAGAACTTGATTAACATAGGCAGTTGAAACTTTGTATGGGTTACCATACTCACTACTCAACAGGTCCCTGGCTTTAATGTAGCCTTCCTCTGGATCCATGTAGAGACATCCAGCAATCAAGTCCTTTGGTTCTCCCTCAAGCTGCTGTTCCAGGTAGTAGAGTCGATCTATAGGGCTGCTAGCATGAGGAACTATACGGGCATCAAAAGACATGATAAATGCACCATATTCTGTAGGGTCACCTTTAAACTTTGGCACCTTAGGCTGAGGTAACAACATAGCTGTTGCCATCTGTCTATGAGCTTGCAAAATCAGTTCATTCTGGTCATGTAAATGCTGGGATGTATCTTCTGTCCTAGAGCTTTTCATACCAGGACACTTTGAAAAGGATGGTTGAACGTCAGAAGCATTAGGGTTAGGCCCTTTCTGATGCTCGTTATCGTCCAAAGTTTCATGTTCGAATACAAGATGAGGTCTTTTGTCAAAAGGTTTCAAAATGGGGTTACCACTTTGAACAATACTGGCATTTGACAACTGTAGCTTAAAATCGGCACTATATGAACTACCTACTTCAAGACATTCGGGCATGTTGCCAGGAGATCTTAGCATATCAGGCACAGTAGCTTTGACATCAGGCATAGAAGACTTGACATCATGCATGGAAGGCTTGACATCAATCATAGAAGGCTTGACATCAGGCATGATAGGATTGACACTAGGTCTTGATGCTACAGAGATCCTTTTATCATGATCAACTAAAGTTTCAGAAACATGAGGATTACACTCCACTACACCAGGCGTATAAGTTCTTGGGTCTGCTTGTGAATCAGCATAGACTTTCTCACGTGCCTGAGATTTAGCAATTTTAATGTCTAACTTCAAAGATTGCAATTTCTCAGACTCTTCAAGTAAAGACTTTTCAACTAAAAGTTCAGCCAACCTTGCACGCTCCTTTGTATATGCTGACCTGGTTGAACTCCTGGAATGTCTCGATGACTTGAAACTTTTTGATGACTTGAATTCCCTAGAAGACACACTTTCAAGGTGATCCGCCAGGACATTCTCCATGCTAGTAATCCAATTTTCTACTTCACTACGAAATTGTAGAATAGAAATCTCCCTCTCCTGGTGACGCATCTGCTCTGAACTCTGCACGTCCTCTGAAATAAGCTCTTCATAATAATTTGTGAAACATACAGAATACCTTTGACACAAGTCTTTAAATTCAACAAAGGTAAGCTTAACAACATGCAAATTGTCACTACTGCTACTGAACAAGAGTCTAGAAAGTTCTGTTCTCTTCTTAGTAAGAGAAGAGAGAACACCAGTCACTCTGGTTTTCAACAAACGAATCTGTTCAGCTTTCCCTTTCTCAGTAAGTGTTCTTTGACGACCAGAACGACGTAGAATGTTCTCACCACCAGAAGCACTATCCTCCTGAATGTCATTACTCACTTCATTACCTTGTCCAGTCTCAATCTCACTTGCACTTTGAGCTTGCTGTTTCTGTTCTGTAGCAGTCTCATCACCACTATCTATCAGCATCCTTTCTTCTGTGTCTATGCCTCCGTTGTCATCTTGAGCGTTGTCGTTGGGCAATACACCGTTAGGATTCATGATGTTATAACAATCACCAAACTTCAATGAAAATTCACAAAATTCAAAATCCAAAATATGTGCAGTCTACGTTCAACAGTCTACACAATGTCTTCCTAATCATTTAGATGCAGGGAAGATTTTCTTGAACTATATTATAGCAGAAATCAACAGTCTTGATACTCTCAATTGATGTTTATTGTCCGTTATTTCGTTGACAATAATAAATGAAAAGCTCATTCTTTTGTATCCGTTAACATGCTTTTCCTTTGAACGTTAGGGTTGAAATGATCAGTGTTGAGGTTCAAGAAACTAGAAAATAACAAGAAAATGTTCTAAGTTACAGTGTAAACAGTGAATTGGCTAAGTTGTTACAAATACAAAATTCTACAAATATTATATCATTTGAAGATAAATGATAGCTTCAACATTACTTTAGATGAACACACATTGTATAAATATGAAGAAGCAGGTTAAAAACTTACATCTGTGTTCTGCAATAGTTCATGACATGTTTCTCCAAGATGGAGACCTTTCAAACTGAAGGTGACAGTGGATGAGGTTACAGTGGATGAGGTCACATGACTAATCCCATGATGCAACACAACTGATTATAAGTCACAAAAACTTTTGCCTGAACCTGGGATCGAACCCTGGACCCTTATGCAGCTAGTCCAGTGACATAACCAACAGACCATTGTTAAGGCTGATATCTGTACATGAAATTCATAACATTTTTGCATAACAGATTTGTAACATAAATTATACTTTCTGCACTAACAGTAGTTGTGCTGTATATATGCTTATAACGAACTACGGTTATAACGAACTTAAAATAGTAGTCCCTTTGAGTTCGTTATAACCGTAGTTTACTGTATAAGACAGGAGTGAGTGAACATTCAGTGGATGAATGTGTCCGCAATGCCCAACACTCACCGAGGTCCGGAGATCGTGCATTAACCCATAGGTGTCCAAGGAGGACATAGACTTCAGGATATCAAGCCAACGTGTGTTAAAATAAAACGACACAGTGAGTGAGTGAGTTGGGTTTAACGCCGCTTTTAACAGTATTCCAGTTATATCACGGCGTGTCAGCTTGATGTGGGAGGAAAGCCCGAAGTGATGCAGGTCTCAGACGTTAACCACTTCGGTGAAACCCACGACCATGGATATGGTGCTGACAAACCTAGAAACATAATCGGGGCGAACCGGGATTCGAACCCATAATCAGAGGCTCCTGGCGAGCCCAAGGGACGCAACTCTGCACAGCGAATTGCGGCGCCTTAGACGACTGGGCCACCCGTGCCCCCGGGCTTGACTTTCCGACGTACAGATTCCATTGGGCGTAAAATGCAAGAAAGCGAAGACAATCGGATGAATAGGTCATTCATGATAATCGGCGATGACACAAGGGTTTCGCGAAATTGGTAC